CATTGCTTGAGGCATCTACGACAGATGCAACAAGACAACGTTCATCCAACAATACCTCCGTATCCACCAAAGAATAGCGAGAATTGAGACATATAATAGCACAGTGCTTGGACACAACGAGAGAACAATTAGGAAAAGCAAAAGAAAAGGAACGGACTTGAGATTCAGTGAGAGTAGATTGAGAGCGGAAATGAGATACCTCTTGCAAGCAAAGGATATCCAGATGGAGAGAGGAGGAGCGAAGATAAGATGAAAACTCTTTGAAATTTGTAGGATTAGACTGCATGAACAAGCTACGCGTGTTCAAGGAGCCAATCTTGATGCCTAATTTTGTACTCATTGAGCCCTACGGGCGTCTTGCTTAGTCTTGAGAGGCAATTTGCCATTGTTCTTGCTATTCTTGACACCAACAGCACCAGCAGACTTGTTACCAAGAACACCAACACCAGTACCAGAAGCAACACCAGCACCATTCACAGCCTTCAAATTGGCATTCAATTCCATTCGCTTCCTCTGAGAGGCCTCCTTGAGCTTAGACAAACCCATCATCTCCTCTGGAGAGTCAACATTCATAGTAAGAGCCACCTCATTAGAAGCGTATTTCGAGAATGCAGAGCCACGCACATCAGGAAGCTTCTTGACACCACTACCAGCAAGCACGATCTCATCATCTTCTTCCATAGCATCATCTCCGTGTAACTTATCCTGATGATCTTCACCTTGAAGATCCTCCATTTGCACCTCCAAATTATCACTTTTAGTGGACTTGTCATTTTCAGACGCGTCAACACCATCAACAACACCCTGAAGAGATTCTTCCTCTTCGTCTACTACAGACTCGAGTTCTTCTTCTTCGACTTTCTCTTCCACTTCCCTACCTGCTCCTAGCTTTGCCTTAGCAACGAAATCCATCAAATGCACCGTCTGTCGACGTGCCTCAGTGACCTCCTCCGAATCCTTCAGTTGATGATCCACCTTTTGCTTCTTGGCACCAGATTGATCCTCCTTATTAGGACAAAAACGCAACATGTGACCATGCTTTCCACATCCATAACATCTACGCTGGAGCAACTCAGGACATTTAGCGCGGACATGACCACTATGACGACAGAAATGACAAACAGGAGGAGCACCCTTATATGTCGCTGCGACAAAGAAATCAAACTCGCTGAGATAGAGCATTCTATCTAGAGGTTGAGCCTCCTGCCACTCACCACCCTCTACCTGATATCCCACCGAGGTATCCACCATCACCGAAAACTTGCCCTCAAAGAAACCACCACGAGTGAACTTCTTCACCTGCAGGACACGACCATAAAACGACAAAGACTTGATCAAATCATGCAAAAAAGTGGGTTCTTTGACGATGCGCATCAAAGTAAACTGGACAAACTTCAAATCACCAAACTCCTTGCATTCCTTGGCGTGAACAGCCTTGTACACCATGCCATTCACGTTAACACCAGTTGTCATAGCCTTGTTCGCATCATCCACCTCCTCGAACTTGGCTTCAATAAGCAAAGAACCATCGTTCTTTTCATCGTAGACACTTAAAGGACGAAATTCCACCAGAGAAGACACCTGGGTTTGAATTACCTTGTACGCATCCACACGATCACCAAACAAACCCTTACGGAAAGAAAAGAGAACTGAACCAGAAGTAAGTGCCTGCTGCACAATCGCCATTGCCTTACTAGCTAAGATTTGACTCTTCAAATCATCATCCTCAAACATCACAGAACCCACCAAAGGGTAAGAAGAAGCGGCGGCCTCCACCGAACGCCTCTTGGATGGCTGATAGAACCTCATAGTAGAACCACGAGATGCACGTTCAGCCCAAGTCATTTCAGAATTGACTGACATAGAGTGTAACTTGTAACTGGAGTGTAACTTTTGTTGACCTTTGTAAAAAAAAATAGTGAAAATGTTGAATTCGTCGAAAAATTGCTGAATCGATCTGAAATCAAGATATGTTGTAGAGCTGAAATGGATGTATCTAAATATACTTGGATGCAAGATGGATGTATCCTAGTTGTTGAGATATCGTCGTTCAAAGTTGGCAAAAACAAAAACTTTTTGAAAAGTGATGTATAAGCGAAAGAGCCTTGAAAGAGCCCCCGTGTAACTTATCTTGAAAAGTGATATATAAGCGAAAATGTTTCAAACTTTACTGTAGACCAAGAGAACCTATTCGTTAGCATGCCATCTATGAGAAAAATTTAGATATTACGTTATTGCTAAACAAAATAAATATAAATATTATTATTAAAAATTTTTTTATTTTATACTTAAATAATTTCTTTGATTTAAATATACTAATAATTATTTAAAAATATTATATTTTACAAAAAATAAAGTGTATTTAAACAGTATAATTTTTAAACTTTTTATTGTAATTATTAATTAATAAAAAAATCTTAATTATAAATTTATTTAAGAAATGTAATATAAATTATATAATACATTGAATATATTTACATAGTTTTATATAAAATTTATTGCATAAAGTATATTTTAATAATATTTCTAACGTTTGATTAATTTTTTATATATAATATAGTTAATTTAATTTTATAAATTATAATTTTATATTTGTAAACAAAATGGTATAGGTGTTTTTGTGCGATTATATTTTGGTGTAACGAATAGGTTGTACAGTCTTTGGTTTTTTTTTGCGGCTCTTTCGCAGGAAAAAGTTTTTGTTTTTGCCAGGGCGGGCTTATACTAGGCAAGGCTCTTTCTGTCCTGAATTGCCTAGACGTCGTTGCTTTAGGTGCAATAAGCGTGGCGATTGCTACATGACCGTGTTCCGCACCGTTCGTGGTGCCATAAGATTATGCCTACAAAAGTTCTGTCTCCTGCTTGTGCTCTTTGTGGTTTCTCTACAGAGAACCTGTACCATTTCGTGGTGGGTCTACAGTAGGCTCTTTCGCTTATACATCACTTTTCAAAAAGTTTTTGTTTTTGCCAACTTTGAACGACGATATCTCAACAACTAGGATACATCCATCTTGCATCCAAGTATATTTAGATACATCCATTTTAGCTCTACAACATATCTTGATTTCAGATCGATTCAGCAATTTTTCGACGAATTCAACATTTTCACTATTTTTTTTACAGCTCTTTCGCGTATTCATCACTTTTTATAAGTTTTCGATTACGCCATCTTTGAACAACGATATCTCGACAACTAGGATACATCCATCTTGCATCCAAGTATATTTAGATACATCCATTTCAGCTCTACAACATATCTTGATTTCAGATCGATTCAACCATTTTTCGTCGAATTCGTCTTTTTCACTACTTTTTCAACAACGCGACTTAGTTACACTCTAGATTACAAGTTACACTCTACGTCTGTTACACTCCATGTCTTCCCAATCTGAATTGACTTGGGCTCAAAGAGCTTCACGTCAAAAGGTGGGTCGATTTCTCCAGCCCAACAAGCGACGATTGGACAATCCAACTGATGTACCATTGGTGGGTACTGTTCTCTATGAAGATGATGACCTGAAGGGTCAAATTTTGGCAAGCAAGGCTATGGCGATTATTCAGCAATCCCTTTCTTCTGGTTCTGTTCTGTTCACGTTTCAGAAAACTTTGTTTCCTGATCGTGTTGCCGCTTACAAAATGATTCAAGACCAAATCTCACCTGACGTGGAATTTCGACCTCTTAGTTTGTATGATTCTCGTGCTGATGGTTCTCTGCTGATTGAAGCCAGGTTTGCTCAGGTGGAGCATGCACAAGTGGCTATGCGTGAAGGGGTGACAGTACAAGGTGTAGTGTACAAAGCGTCTACCTCCAAGGAAAGTGCTGAATTTGGGGATGTCAAGCATGTGCGGTTTACACTTATGCGTATGGTGGACAAGACCACTTTTTTGTCGGATCTTATGGAGTCCTTGTCGTACTTTGGTAAGGTACTGCAAGTGAAGAAGTTTACTCACCGTGGTTACTTTGAGGGTAAACTTTCGGTGATTTTGGATACTTCTGTTGGATTTCAGGTAGGGGATGAGTGGCAGGAGGCCAAGCCCCTAGATAGAATGCTCTATCTGAGCGAATTTGATTGTTTTGTGCCAGCGACTTATCAAGGTGCTCCACCTGTTTGTCATTTCTGTCAACACAGCGGTCATGTTCGCGCCAAATGTCCTGAATTGGCTAGACGTCGTTGCTTTAGGTGCAATAAGCAAGGGCACATGTTGCGTTTTTGCCCTGAAAAGGAGGTTCAGTCTGCAAATTTCACCAAGAAGCACAAAGTTCACCATCATTCTGAGGATTCTGAGGATGTCACTCTGGCTCGTAAGAACACTGTGGAATTGATGGAATATATTGAGAAGGAAAAATTAGGCGTAGGTAAGGAGGTGGAGAAGGTAGAAGAAGAAGAACTCGATTATCGTGTAGTCGAGGATGAATCTCTTCAGGGTGAAAGTGTTGACGAATCTGAAAATGATGAGTCCACTGGTAACGAGGATTTGGATCTTCTGAGTGAAGATAACCACCAGGTAAGTATGAATGAGGATGAGGACATGGAGGACGACAAGATTGTGCTTGCTGGAGCTCCCAAGAAGCTGGATACCGTGCGTGGTTCTGCCTACTCCAAGTATGCGTCTGCTGAGGTGGCTGTGAATATGAACATTGACTCGCCTGAGGAGATGTTGAATTTGACCAAGTTGAAGGATCTTGCTCAGCGCAAAAGAATGGAGTTCAATGCAAACCTGAAAGGTACTACTGGTGCTGGTGTAAAAGGCGATAACAAGCTGGGTAACTCTGGTGGTGTCTCTTCTGGTACTGGTGCTAAGGGTAACAAGTCTGGTGTTGCTTCTGGTGTTGCTTTCGGTGGTGTTTCTGGTGGTGTTTCTGGTGGTGTTTCTGGTGTTGTCAAGAATAGCAAGACTAATGGCCGTGCGCCTCTCAAGACTAAGCAAGACGCCCGTAGGGCTCAATGAGTACAAAATTAGGCATCAAGATTGGCTCCTTGAACACGCGTAGCTTGTTCATGCAGTCTAATCCTACAAATCTCAAAGAGTTTTCATCTTATCTTCGCTCCTCCTCTCTCCATCTGGATATCCTTTGCTTGCAAGAGGTATCTCATTTCCGCTCTCAATCTACTCTCACTGAATCTCAAGTCCGTTCCTTTTCTTTTGCTTTTCCTAATTGTTCTCTCGTTGTGTCCAAGCACTGTGCTATTATATGTCTCAATTCTCGTTATTCTTTGGTGGATACGGAGGTATTGTTGGATGAACGTTGTCTTGTTGCATCTGTCGTAGATGCCTCAAGCAATGTTTTGTGCAAAGTGGCCAACGTCTATGGTCCAGCGCAGTCTTCTGACCGTCCTTCATTTATCTCTGATTTTCTCTCTCTTTCTGTTTGGTCTGATGTGTTCAACACACCTTGGATGGTTATGGGTGATTTCAACATTCACTTGCACTCTTTGTCTACTTCTCGTCAAGCCGATGTCGCTCCTTTTGTTCACTGGTTGCGTACTCACTTTGTCAATTGTCATCCGGATGGTTTAGCCACGTTTCCAAAGAGCAATACTTGTATTGATTACATCTTTGGTCACTCTTCTCTTGCTCCTCGTTTGACTAATAGTCAGTTACTATATATGCCTAGTAGGTGGACGGATCACTCTCTTTTGACTGTTGAAATGTTACCTGCGACAGCTAGTATTGGTCCTGGTAGTTGGCGGTTCAATCCAACTCTGCTTGATGATAAGGAATTTGTTGCGTTGTTGAATGCCACGGTGTCATTGTTCTTCTCTGGTGCTGTTGGTGGTGGGTCTAAGGGTGTCAATACTAGTCAAGGTAGTAGTGGTGACTCTGAAAGCACGGTGGCTAGATGGGAATCCTTCAAGTTGTTACTAAAGTGCTGTGCACAAAAGTACACTAGAAGCATGAAAGCACGATTCAAGAACAAAGTTTTTACGCTTCAACTGGAACGTATTAGGGCTTTGTCGACGTCTGTATCGGGTGTTGAGACTAGGAATGCTATTGGTCAAACTGATAGAGTGTCTACTGCTTCAGGTGATGCTGAACAGCAGGTCAGGCAACTAGAAGTTTTGATTGAGGATCAGATACAGAAAGAGACTAGTCAGAATATGCTTCGCTCTGCCACTCGTTGGTTAGAACAGGGAGAACGTAGCAACAAGTATTTCTATCGTTCGATCAAGGTGCGAGAGTCTCAACAGACAATTCAATCCTTAAAGTGCTCTACTACTGGGGATATCTTGGTGGAAGCAGCAGCTATCAACAGGGAGGCACAAGGTTTTTATCAAAGGCTATATACCCCTGATGCTGTCGATGCTGAAGCTATCGATACTCTCCTGGGGAATGTTCCAACTGATGTACGTCTATCATCTTTGGATGGTGATATGCTAATGGAACTTCCAACTCGCGATGTTTTGTTGTCTCTGCTCACTCATGCTCTCAAGTCTAAAAGTCCTGGTCTTGACGGTTTGCCTTTTGAATTGTATCAATATCTTGCTGGTGTTTCTACTGATTTTCTTGACTTGCTTGTGGATGTGTTGGGTGCAGCTTTTTCTGGTGTGTTTCCTCCTTCGTGGCAACAAACTCGTATGGTCTTATTGTTCAAGAAGGGTGACCCTCAGTTGTTGGTTAACTGGAGACCTTTGTCCTTAATTAACAGTGATGCCAAGTTATTTACAAAGCTCATTGCTAATCGTATGAACAAAGTGTTGCCAAAGTTAATCAACCCTTATCAAACTGGTTTTCTCCCTCATCGTCTGATCTCTGACAATGGCTGGTTAAATCAGTTGTTGATGTCTCACTTGCGTGTTGTTGCTCCTGATTTACCTCAAGTGGCTGTTTTGTTGGATCAAGAGAAGGCGTATGATCGGGTTCATCCTGAATATCTTTGTCGTGTGTTGCTCCGGTTTGGTTTTCCTGGTGAGTTGGTGTCTTGTCTGTCTTCTTTGTTCTTTGGAACCAAGATTTCAGTGTCTATCAATGGTTGGCTTGGTGCTCCTGTACCTCAATTGCGAGGTCTTCGTCAAGGTGATCCTCTGTCTCCATTGCTATTCAATCTGGCATTTGAGCCTTTGCTTCGTTCTCTCCTTGCTTGTCCTGGTCTTTCTGGTGTTACTCTGTCTCCTGTTAATATCCCACGTAAATGGAAGCCTTCACCGGTTGAAGTTCGTGTGGATCATGGTACTGGTTCCCGGAATTGGACTTTGGACTTTGTCAGTGGCTCTGTTGCTCCTCCTCCTGTCAAGATTCTAAGCTATGCGGATGATCTTGAGGTGTTTTTGTCTTCGCCAGAAGAGTGGTCTGTGTTGTTGTCTGTTCTTGATCTGTATGGCCGAGCATCTAATGCGAAAGTCAATATCAGCAAGACAGTGTTGGTGTCGTTGTCTGGTGTGTCACACTCTGCTTGGGTTGCTTTGGCTGATTCTACTGGTCTCCAGTGGCATGACGCTCACTCTCGTGGTGCAGTACGTTACTTGGGTTATCCCTTGTATCATACTGAAAGTCAACTTCAAGACTATCTTGATGGTGTCTTGGTGAAGGTCCAGCGACACAGTAACTTGTTGAAACAAAGGAATCTCTCCATTAGGGGAGCAGGACTAGTGGCTAACTCGTTACTGTTGTCAAAGGTATATCATTTGTTGCGTGTTGTTCCTGGTGGTGCTACTACTGCGTCGTGGTTGAAGTCTCTCACTACGGTGGTCCGTGAGTATCTGGTGTCCTTTCGCCCTGGTGTTGCTTGGTCTACTTTGTGTCTCCCCCGCAAGTTTGGTGGTGTTGGTCTCGTGGATATAGCAGATCAAAGCTTAGCTTTGCATCTTGTCTATTTGCAACGTTTGTTGCGTCCACCCTCTCCCAGTGATTTGTCTCCTCTTGGTTGGTGTATGCTTTTCAAGTTTACACTGGTCATAAGTCCATCTTGCCGTGGTTTTGTTTTCCTGGTCTTTACCAGTCTCGTGTGTCTTCTGTGCCTGCTCTAACACATCTTGGAAAGCTTCTGTTGAGATTGCCAAAGCTAGTTCCTTCCTCTGGTTGGTCTGCTAGGTGGTTTCTTGATCTTCCCTTGTGTTCTGTACTCAGTACTGTGCCTTCTGTTCGTCCTCCTCGTGATCCATCATCTCTTGATCCTCGTTTCTTGGTGTCGGATGTCTCTTTCTGGCAACCTGATCTAGGTATAGTTGATGGTGTCACCTCTCATCTTGCTTGGTCATCTCGTGTTTTGCGCCCTGTTTTTCTTGCCTTGAACCGTGATCGTGGTCCTGTCTCTCTGGTATTCCCGCCTGTCATGGATAGTAAGATAGTCTTGTCTCAAGCAGACTATTTTGCTATGCCCCGTTCTGATGGTGCTACCTCTTGGATGCCAGATTGTACACATTGGACTGTCTCCAACTCGTCTCGTTCTGCTGCTCCGGTTGCTCGTCTCTCTCTTGGTGCTTTGCGAAGGTATTGGCACCCTGCAAAGGGTACCATTACCTCTCGTATGGGTCCTCCCTTGAAGTTGCCTGCCCATTTGTTGCTGTCTCCTGCTTTGTGGCGTCTTTTCTGGTCCCTGGAAATGCCTGCAAAGGCTTTCACACCTTGGTGGCGATTGCTACATGACCGTGTCCCGCACCGCTCGTGGTGTCATAAGATTATGCCTACAAAAGTTCTGTCTCCTGCTTGTGCTCTTTGTGGTTTTGCTACAGAGGACCTTTACCATTTCGTGGTGGGTTGCCATGTCAAGTCATTTTTCTGGCAGGATGTAGTCTCTTTGTTGTCACTTCAAGAGCTACTCCCCTCTGCTTCTTCTATTTGGTTGGCGCTGACTACCTTTTGTAGTGGTTCGGATTTGTTGGTGATCGATGAGGATGTTCTGATTGCTCTTGGTGCTGCTTACAGTACACTTTGGAAGTATCATTGGCGATGCGTCATAGACGAGGAGCCTTGGATAGCTTCTGCTGCTATCAACATGGTCCGTCAAGACCATAGTACACTCTTTTCTTCTCTTTCTTTGGCAAGTGTTCAAGCTGGCACCTTGGCCTTGCCTGTAATTACTGTATAGATTATAAATTTAAAGCTAATAAAGATACACTTTAATACAAAAAAAAAAAAAAAATTTCGTGGTGGGTTGCTACGTCAAGTCATTTTTCTGGCAGGATGTAGTCTCTTTGTTATCACCGCAAGAGCTACTCCCCTCTGCTTCTTCTATTTGGTTGGCGCTGACTACCTTTTGTAGTGGCTCAGATTTGTTGGTGATCGATGAGGATGTTCTGATTGCTCTTGGTGCTGCTTACAGTACAATTTGGAAGTATCTGTGGAATTTGAGGCTTTACAGACTAAAATTCACGGAAAAAAAAGAATAAAAAAACAGTAATGTCAACTTGATAAAGGTATGTTTTATTATCAAACTGACAGGTGTAAAGTAAACTGAAGTCTCTCTACTGGCCAGGTAGATGATCCTTCTTATATACTATAACAATGGATAAAAGTTCTATTAATTAGATTGACAAATAAGTCAACTCAGATCAACTAATGTCTAATCATGCTAAAAGACAACTCCAGCAAGCTAATCATGATTTAGCTCTGTCTGGATGAATAATTAGACTCTCATCCGAAGTACCCTGATCTATCCTTTCCATAAGGATAATTAATATCGATCTAGTAGCATGTATCCGATAGGTACAGTCTTCTTAGTCTATATTAATAGTACATATCTGAGTGTATATCGCTAAGCATACATCTTTAGCATGTATCTGGATATATGGCATGTCTATAGCATATCGTATGCATGTCTATAGCATGTCTCATATATAGTACAAGTCTGTAGTACATAAAGTATCTGTAGCTAGTATCACGGATATAAGCATGTGTCTTATAGCGTGGATCATGAAGTGCACATCTGAAGCAACAAGCTCATATTGCATTAATCTTGGTGCCTATCCAGATATGGTAAACATCCGTAGTCAATGTCGGAATACAAGTATAAGTCTATAGTGCCATCCATGTCCGTGGTGCCATCTATAGCCTATATCTTATATAGTATGAATCTTATAGTACTAGCGTATCTGAAGTCCATATCTTCTCATGATCATAGTATAAATCGATATCGTACATCTAATCCAGTGTACATACAGTTTATATCTAAATCTGGTAACTGGATGAACTGTCGGAATGCAGATCATAGTGGATGTATTCCACAGTATCATTGACGATGCGTCATAGACGGGGAGCCTTGGATAGCTTCTGCTGCTATCAACATGGTCCGTCAAGACCATGGTACACTCTTTTCTTCTCTTCCTTTGCCAAGTGTTCAAGCTGACACCGTGGCCTTGCCTGTAATTACTGTATAGACTATAAATTTCAAAGCTAAAAAAGATACACTTTAATACAAAAAAAAAAAAAAAAAGGTGCAATAAGCAAGGGCACATGTTGCGTTTTTGCCCTGAAAAGGAGGTTCAGTCTGCAAATTTTACCAAGAAGCACAAAGTTCACCATCATTCTGAGGATTCTGAGGATGTCACTCTGGCTCGTAAGAACACTGTGGAATTGATGGAGTATATTGAGAAGGAAAAATTAGGCGTAGGTAAGGAGGTGGAGAAGGTAGAAGAAGAAGAACTCGACTATCGTGTAGTCGAGGATGAATCTCTTCAGGGTGAAAGTGTTGACGAATCTGAAAATGATGAGTCCACTGGTAACGAGGATTTGGATCTTCTGAGTGAAGATAACCACCAGGTAAGTATGAATGAGGATGAGGACATGGAGGACGACAAGATTGTGTTTGCTGGAGCTCCCAAGAAGCTGGATACCGTGCGTGGTTCTGCCTACTCCAAGTATGCGTCTGCTGAGGTGGCTGTGAATATGAACATTGACTCGCCTGAGGAGATGTTGAATTTGACCAAGTTGAAGGATCTTGCTCAGCGCAAAAGAATGGAGTTCAATGCAAACCTGAAAGGTACTACTGGTGCTGGTGTAAAAGGTGATAACAAGCTGGGTAACTCTGGTGGTGCTTCTTCTGGTACTGGTGCTTCTTCTGGTACTGGTGCTAAGGGTAACAAGTCTGGTGTTGCTTCTGGTGTTGCTTCCGGTGGTGTTTCTGGTGTTGTCAAGAATAGCAAGACTAATGGCCGTGCGCCTGTCAAGACTAAGCAAGACGCCCGTAGGGCTCAATGAGTAAAAAATTAGGCATCAAGATTGGCTCCTTGAACGCGCGTAGCTTGTTCATGCAGTCTAATCCTACAAATTTCAAAGAGTTTTCATCTTATCTTCGCTCCTCCTCTCTCCATCTGGATATCCTTTGCTTGCAAGAGGTATCTCATTTCCGCTCTCAATCTACTCTCACTGAATATCAAGTCCGTTCCTTTTCTTTTGCTTTTCCTAATTGTTCTCTCGTTGTGTCCAAGCATTGTGCTATTATATGTCTTAATTCTCGTTTTTCTCTAGTGGATACGGAGTTATTGTTGGATGAACGTTGTCTTGTTGCATCTGTCGTAGATGCCTCAAGCAATGTTTTGTGCAAAGTGGCCAACATCTATGGTCCAGCGCAGTCTTCTGACCGTCCTTCATTTATCTCTGATCTTCTCTCTCTTTCTGTTTGGTCTGATGTGTTCAACACACCTTGGATGGTTATGGGTGATTTTAACATTCACTTGCACTCTTTGTCTACTTCTCGTCAAGCCGATGTCGCTCCTTTTGTTCACTGGTTGCGTACTCACTTTGTCAATTGTCATCCGGATGGTCTAGCCACGTTTCCAAAGAGCAATACTTGTATTGATTACATCTTTGGTCACTCTTCTCTTGCTCCTCGTTTGACTAATAGTCAGTTATGTAATGAAATAGCCACCCAAACGCAACTTAATTGAAAACCAGAAGTTCATCAAATAGCACCCATTCAAATTCATGCTATTTGGATCTATTAATGAAAGCGCTCAAATGTACATCAAAAAACCATTAACAGGGCTCTTTCGCTTATACATCACTTTTCAAAAAGTTTTTGCTTTTGCGAACTTTGAACGACGATATCTCAACAACTAGGATACATCCATCTTGCATCCAAGTATATTTAAATACACCCATTTTAGCTCTACAACATATCTTGATTTCAGATCGATTCAGCAATTTTTCGACGAATTCAACATTTTCACTATTTTTTTTACCAAGGTCAACAAAAGTTACACTCCAGTTACAGGTTACACTCTATGTCAGTCAATTCTGAAATGACTTGGGCTGAACGTGCATCTCGTGGTTCTACCATGAGATTCTATCAGCCGTCCAAGAGGCGTTCGATGGAGGCCGCGACTTCTTCTTACCCTTTGGTCGGTTCTGTGATGTTTGAGGATGATGATTTGAAGAGTCAAATCTTAGCTAATAAGGCAATGGCGATTGTGCAGCAGGCACTTACTTCTGGTTCAGTTCTCTTTTCTTTCCGTAAGGGTTTGTTTGGTGATCGTGTGGATGAATACAAGGTAATTCAAACTCAGGTGTCTTCTCTGGTGGAATTTCGTCTTTTAAGCGTCTACGATGAAAAGAACGATGGTTCTTTGCTTACTGAAGCCAAGTTCGAGGAGGTGGATGATGCGAACAAGGCTATGACAACTGGTGTTAACGTGAATGGCATGGTGTACAAGGCTGTTCACGCCAAGGAATGCAAGGAGTTTGGTGATTTGAAGTTTGTCCAGTTTACTATGATGCGCATCGTCAAAGAGCCCACTTTTCTGCATGATTTGATCAAGTCTTTGTCGTTTTATGGTCGTGTCCTGCAGGTGAAGAAGTTCACTCGTGGTGGTTTCTTTGAGGGCAAGTTTTCGGTAATGGTGGATACCTCAGTGGAATATCAGGTAGAGGGTGGTGAGTGGCAGGAGGCTCAACCTCTAGATAGAATGCTCTATCTCAGCGAGTTTGATTGCTTTGTCGCAGCGACATATAAGGGTGCTCCACCTGTCTGTCATTTCTGTCGTCATAGTGGTCATGTCCGCGCTAAATGTCCTGAGTTGCTCCAGCGTAGATGTTATGGATGTGGAAAGCATGGTCACATGTTGCGTTTTTGTCCTGGTAAGGAGGATCAATCTGGTGCCAAGAAGCAAAAGGTGGATCATCAACTGAAGGATTCGGAGGAGGTCACTGAGGCACGTCGACAGACGGTGCATTTGATGGATGTCGTTGCTAAGGCAAAGCTAGGAGCAGGTAGGGAAGTGGAAGAGAAAGTCGAAGAAGAAGAACTCGAGTCTGCAGTAGACGAAGAGGAAAAATCTCTTCAGGGTGTTGTTGATGGTGTTGACGCGTCTGAAAATGACAAGTCCACTGAAAGTGATAATTTGGAGGTGCAAATGGAGGATCTTCAAGGTGAAGATCATCAGGATAAGTTACACGGAGATGATGAGATCGTGCTTGCTGGTAGTGATGTCAAGTAGCTCCCTGATGTGCGTGGCTCTGTTTTCTATAAGTATCGTACTCCAAGAAAGCTTAAGGAAGAATTTTTGTAGGGGAGCCGAGCTCCATTTTTTATTTTAAGTCCTTCAAATGTCGCTATGAGTGATAAGAAAGACTGGGTATGATTACAAGGGGATCGGAGGAACGAACGAAACAAAAAAATAAAAATAACAGATAGAAAAGAGCAAATGGATAAAAGAGAAAAAACTGAATACTTACGAATCTAGCTTTAACTCGGCATCCAAGCGAGCAAGAGAGCGAGCAAGACGATGTTGAACAGTGTCAGCGATGAACGGGGTTCGGTCGAAGATCCAGCGCCAATGCGCTTGCCATATTGTCAGCAGAGTAGTTGCGAAAAGTTGAGGAATAGAGAGATCACCATCAAGATAGGGAGAGGAACAGAGTAATATTTATTGGAAGAAATGAATCAGATCAACATCAGAGATTGAGGAAGAAGCAGAGAGATAGGTGTGGTACATGTGTCGCCAGACCAATAACTTGGGAGGGCAGGAGATCAGAGTATGGGTGATATCCTCCGTGGTAGAGGCAGAGCAGATGGTACATAGGGGAGAAGGGTGTTTTTCGGGGATGCGTAAATGTAGCAAAGCTCTTGAAGGGATTTTTTCGTAAATAGCTCGGTACCAGACCGTGCGAGCAGCCAGGGGGATTGAGATTCTCCAGAAGGAGAGCCATTGAGCCGGCCGGAGAGGAGAGAGTGAGGAGGAGGTAGTGGAGAGGTTTTGACGTAGTTTTTTGAAGTAACGGATGCTGTTGAGCGGCAACCGGCCTCGCGAAGGCAAGGAAGAAGGAGGAACGATAATGCTACGGCAGAACGCTCGAAGGGAGGGAGGTTGATGTGGGTTGAGGGTTGGACGAGGAGCAATGAAGCACTGTTGTGCAAAGAAAGGTTGGAATAGTAGTTGACGCGACTGAATGAAATCAGTAACACGTTGGGATACAATAGGATGGCGAGCGAATTGGAAGGAAGGACGAACACGAAGCACCTGATGATCAATATCTAACTGGAAAACCTCGCTTACAAGAAGCTTTCTGGCAACGTCAGAGCCATCTAAAAGAAGATTCGGTGGTATAAAGCTAGAAGAACATAAATTGTTAATAGTAGGAGGAGAATGTAAAAGTATTTCATAAAGAGGGAGTGAGTAGCAAGTAATAGCATCAACATATAAGTTACGACGTTCTGACATCTGAAAGATGGACAAGCAGGACTGAAGATTAGTGATTGGATTGAGATAAGTATTGCGACGGGATGGACTTTGAGGAAACCACAACCGATGGCGAGCATGCTGAAACAAGAGGTAGTAAAAGAAATGAAAGAAGACGGTGGAGGAGTAGCACCAAGAAAGAGTATAAGTTAAGACAGGAAGCGAAGGAGTGTTGTACTTGGAGAAGGCCGGAGAGTCAAGATATTGAAGCAATAGAGGGCACACCCAGTACCATTGTAGAGCTTGTTGTTGAGAGAGAGGATCTAGGAGCCCCAAACCACGGGCAGAGCGAGGTAAAGAGAGAGTAGCAAAAGAGAGTCTAGGGAATATACGAAAATTAATGAAGGCGGTACCCAGGCTTCGTAAAGAGAGCAACTGGGCCTTGGTAAATGTTGTGAGTCGTAAAACATGCCATAATTTGGAATAAATGAGTGAATTGAGAATGGTGACCCGGCCACGGATAGAGATATTGCGTTGGGAGTGGATAGCAATAGCGTTACGGATGGAGTCATACAGGTTTTGAAAGGCAACATTGCGTTGAGTAATGCTGGAACAAATTGGATAACCAAGATAAATGAGTGGAGTGGTGGATGTGCGATCATGCCAAGCGGTGATGCCATAAGATGAGAGCAGGGCTTGCCAAGTTGTTGATGGTTTACCTGAAAGAGATGTAGCTACTGTTTTGTGATAATTCAATAATGCGTTAGAAGCTTTCATGTAAGTAGTGATGGCAGCCTGCAAACGATGGAAATCGTGCGTGTCGCGAAGATACACCAAAGTATCATCCGCATAGGCAAGGATTTTGACCGCCAGAGGCGCAGTTGTAGAAGAAGCTGAAGAAGTAGAACCATCGGGAACAGTGGGCGGGTCAGCAGCATCAGAAAACAGTTGTTGCATAGAATCTGAAATAACATCAGATTGGGTATCATTAGAAGGGGGAGGAGCTTCAGTGTGTAGGTTGAAACCCTTGTATTGAGGGTCTTGGTGAATTGATCGAAGGAATGGATCAAATGCGATATTAAACAGTAGTGGCGAGATGGGATCTCCTTGTCAAATACCACGTTGTTGGGTGATATAATCAGTCGAGATATGTCCATTGATGTTGATGTGAATTTGTGTCGAAAAAATGAGAGTTAGTAAGGAATGAATAATATTAGTAGGCATGTTAAAACGTTGCATCACAGCACGAATATAATCAGGATGAATGCGATCGTAAGCCTTCTCTTGATCCAAGAGAAGTGCAATACTGTTAGAGGATGTTTCAGCAGCAATGAGGCGAGTGTTGTGGAAGATCATACCATTGTCACCGATGAAGCGACCAGGCATGAATCCTGATTGTTGAGGACATATGATTTTGTTCATAAAAGGCATAAGACGTTGGTTGAGAAGTCGGGTAAATATCTTGGCATCGCAACATATCAATGATAGAGGTCGCCAATTCTTGAGGTTGGATAGGTCGCCGGATTTGGGTAGTAAACAGATGCAGGTTTGCAACCAGCTGGAGGGAAAGACACCCAAGTTGAGAGCATCATTAAATACCTGAACAGAGAGTTTGGCAGCCTTCGGGTGGTTGAAAATCACGTTGAGAATGGGATAAGGTAAACCGTCGATGCCAGGACTGGATTGGAACTTGGTACGATGAGTACCAGTCAATAAGTCGGCATAGGTGAAAGGCTGCTGAAGAATAGTATGAGCATCATCCGGGATGGTGTCAGAGTCAGGGATCGTGTTGCACAGGGACTCGATGCTCGCGATGTCGACCGGATCACTGGAATACAACGTGCCATAGAAACTAGAAGCAGCTGTCTGCACCGAAAGAGGATCAGTACATAATGTGTTACTAACTGGATGGAGGAGGCTAGTAATCGCCTGTTTAGCGGCATGAGTGGCAATAGTTCGCTTAAGGTAACCGGCAGAGGTTTCCCCCTTTTCACGCCAATGTTTACCTGCCCGCAATCGTAGGTTCGTAGCAATTTCACGTTGAAGCATACCAATTTGCTTTTCAACGGTGTGTAGTAGTTGTGTCCGGGTACGAGGATCCGAGTATTGACGACATATTCGGTTGCGCTTGCGTTGTAGGCGCCGGTATTGGCGTTCCAAGGCATTGCTGCGAGCACGACTTACCCGACGAGCGATATCCTGAACTAGAGCTTTAAGAGCATCCCAATTGTCTTGCGGAGAGGCAGGCAAAATGGAGGCGGCGGCATCTATGGAAGCGGTAATCTCCACGTTAGTGAAAAATTCATCTAAAGCTGTAAACAGTTGATCCGTGAAATATTGATTAGTTGCTAGATTGTGGTTAGCTCGCCATAGACCTGATCCCTGACGATCCGACGAAAAGACAAACCGTGCCCGGAGAAGGGCATGATCGGTCCAGGAGGAATCAAGGAACTCAATGTCAGAAGAGTGTAGGTGTTGGAATAAGAAAGCGGAAGCGTACAGGTAATCGATAGTAGATTGACCGTTCTTCTGTCTGCGATATGTTGGTAACAGAGGGCCTTCTTCCCGTGAATGTGTACATTCAAAGAAGTGCGTATTGAGAATCTGATGGAAGTGTCGGTGAAGGGCAGCTCCTGAAGTAATATTGTTAGTATCAAGTTCCTGATCCACACTTTCATCGGTCAGATATAAAGTAGCATGATAGTTGAAATCCCCCATCATGAGCATTGGAGCAAGGTTGGAGGGATCAGAGTCGAGAGGTGTAGATAAATTGGAGAGAGATGCCTGAGAGGTTGAATAAGGAATGTCGAAAAGAGGCAACGCTAGAAGATTGCGAAAGAACTGCACTCTGGGAGAGTATTGGGCAGGAGCATAGATGTTAAGGAGTGTGAAGGGTGGGAACAACGCATTGGCATGGACAACCTTGCAGGCAAGGATGCGTTGGTCCAGATCGAAGTCTAAAGAATGTAAGTTGATTAATGTATTGAATGAGATAATATCACAATGTTGTGTCCATAAGGTGGCATGAGCTTGGAATTGTAGATTGAGTTGGTCCTGAACTGCCTCAACGGCGTGCGATTCTTGAATACATATAATGTCCAAATGTAAGGAACGTAAATATCGAATGAAGTCAGAGCTAATCTCTGGAGTAGAGGCTTTGACAAGATTGCGGCAGTTCAGGAAAGCTATATTAAAGTTGTGATTGTGCGTAAAAGATTGAATGTTAGTGGCATAATTGGGCATATTAGTGGCATAGGTGTGAGATTCATAGGTGTTAGTACTCATTAGGCCAAGGGGGCTGAGACGCCGTCAGCTGGGCTAATAGAGGTAGAAGAGGTAGCAGGTTGAGTAGTAGAATCTTGAGTTGCAGGAACATCATCCATGTTGACATCGGCCTGTGCGGAAAGGGCGATAGCCTTGGATGATTTGTCAGGATAGATAGCAGAGTAGAGAGAATGATATACAGATTCAGGAAGCCATTGACGCTTGAAGCAAAATTCCCTAGCGACAGCAAGTTGAACATGAGGGACATGAAGGCGCTTGACAATACGTATTAACCGTTCTTGATGGATCCGGGTGGCTTCAGCTTGCACAAAAGCCTGGTCAGGGTTAGTAGTATACTTACGATCACGGAGTAATGAAGGAGCACAAGGGTCAAAATCATTGAGGAGCTTGGAGGAAGGCAGTTTGGCCATGGCATCTTTGACAGTATCGACATAGTCATTGTGTACCAGGAAGCTGATAGTGTTGTTCTCAGGGTAATGGATGTCGAGGATGCGGCTCTGCGATAAGCCAAGTACTCCAAAACCAGCACGGATTTTGGAGATGGCTTCACGACCACGGGATGTAAAGTACAAGAATTGGTACCCATGTGATTCCGATGGGGCCGAGTAAAAACGATTAATTTGTTCCAAAGTTGGAGGTCGTTTGGACTTACCTTTGGGAACAGGCTTGGAAGAAGTGATGGCTTTAGGTTTAGGTGTCTTGAGAGTCTGGGGCTTCTTTGGTGGATCGTTCAATGGTGGAGTTGCGGCCACATCAGCCCATTTGGAGGCCGAGGTACCATCTGATCTCTTCTCAGGTACAGTCGGAGCTGAAGGCAAGGGTGGCAACGAGTGATTGGCGGTTGACTTGAGTTGTGCAATCTCTCGATTAGCGTTATCCAAAGCCAGTTGAATTTCATGGTTTCTCTTCAACAAATCTTTAATTTGTTCCAGTTGAGAATTGTGTGCGGAAAGACGTGTATAGATTTCCTGGATCCAGTTAGGTAACTGAGGATGACCATGGATTTCGTCTGGGCGGGGAACATGCAGGCCGGTACAGACAGTAGTAGGCGTGCTGGGCGCAATAGCAGAGGGTTCTAAGCCCAGGATGGAGGTGGAATCGGTGGAGGAGACTACAGGCATAGTAGCAAGTTGCGAGTCGGTAATCATGGAGACAAGAGGTTCTACTGTAGGTGCGTGAGTGCGAGGTGAACGACGCAAAGGTACAGCGGTAGCTTTGATGGTAGAGAAGCGACGCTTTTTGGACGCAACGGGTAGTTTGGAGAAACGGTTGCCGGCTGTCGTCTGTTTGGTTAAAGTGAGACGAGAGTTGGAGGTAACGGTAGGTGTCGACTGACTTGACAGACCTGACTGAATTGTTGTTGTTGTGTTGTTTGTCGGTTTTGTTTTGATCTTTACTGCTTAATGATGTTTTCGGGGTTTGAAAGGCCCTAAAAACAATTTAGACGAAAGAAAGGGTGAAGATTAAGGAAGAATGAGGTGGTCATCATATTTTACTTAGTCGAATCTGCAAAAATAGTTAAATCGAATCCAAAATTATCAAAATTTGGCCAATCTCGAACAGACTATGTCACATTACCTCTCCAAGATTATATAGATATCTCATAATCATATTACCAATAAAGATTAGTCTCTTCCTCATTAACATCAGTTTTCGTTACTTGAACGTTACATCTATGAGTCTGAGTTAGAATTATTTTTGGCTTGTAGGGCCAGCCGGAAAACTCAATGCCCATTTCATAAGGCAATACGGTAGTAAATGCCCTTGAAGCGTATGGAAAGTAGGTGGCAGCAGGTCATAGCACTATCGTTCATAATGATATTTTCTTGCATTCTATATCTAATAACGTTAGTCTGGACATTGACGATTCTTGGGCAGCGTAAGATGTCTGCAGTAAGTAGTGAAATATCTGAGGCTCCGAGCTGTTGTTCAAAGAAAACGTTAGCAGTATTGAGCAAAGGAAGGAGGGTAGAAACAACAATAGTTTTTGTTGATTGATTGGAAAATCATTATTCACTTATGAGCCAGGCCTGATAAATGCCTTGAAACTCAGTTTTCATATTAGGGTTGTAAAGTGTCTAAGGATTGAACATGTATTATAATATGATATCACATCAAAATGTTTCTGTCAACCCAAAGCAACTTCTGAAACCATTTTTATGAGGTCTTTATATGCAAAATTTCAACATTTTGACTAAAAACCTTATTTCAGATTTTCTGGAATTGCTCGTTAAGTTCAGTTAAAATATCTGTTTTACTTGGCATTATTGGAAGCGCCTTAAAAAGTACTCCAAGAATGTATTAGGAAGCATCGGATGATTATCACAATTTACATAGTGGGATATCATAAAATATATTAAAAATGTCGATTTTTTTTTGTATGAAATGAAAGTTTTATTAAATAGATATGAATAAATAAATAAAATTATTGCATAAATGGATCAAGTGTATACTAGGTAAAGTGGCTGCCATATTGTATCTTGTGAAATCTTATGTATCAATACCATCCATTTTGGACAGCTTGTCTAGTTCTCTGTTGATGTTGCTGATACCTATCTGAGGATCAAAAGGTGTACCATGATAATGGACGAAGTAATGGTGAGTCCAGATGACCTCGATGGTGGTGGCAAAGAGGTCAGGGATGTTGTTCTTTGAATTGAGGTTATATATGAAATGTCTTATTAGACTTAAATTCCGAAGGTCTTTGTAGATACGGTGGGTGTTGACAGTCGATGGGTAGCTAAGGTGCTCTTCGAAGATGGTCCGCCAGACATCGAGTTTGTTTTCACAGTCCATGAGTAGATGCCTTGCATTGCTGGCATCTGCCATTTTCAATTTCTTTTAGATTGCTTTGATACAGGAATCTTTGGCGAGGAACGTTGTTGCAGATTATTTTGAGCCATACATTTCGTGGTGACTGATGCATGCGTGTTTGATAGAAAGGTTTCCATTGTTTTGGTCTAATGTTCTTGTAATCTTTTAGCAGTTCTAGAGGCAAGTTGCAAAGCAGTAATTGTCATAACTTTGTTCCTGTAGAATCAGATTGTCCCTTGATTGTGCTTGAAGTGTTGTAGAATGTTATTGATCTGATCAGCTGTGGAGTTGTTTTCTGGTAGAAGCAGGCTTGTGAAAAACTCCTGCAACTGGAGATAATTGTTGTTGTAATCCCTCTAGAGCTTGAAGAGTATTTGTGGTAATTTGCATTCTTGTCTAGACTCGAATTGTAGAGCTGTTTGGTTATTATTGACCTTAAAGAAGTCTTAAACTAGGCTTTTCTGTGCAGTGGGGTTTCTCAGGTATTTCAATGCTTCAGATGTTTCCCAATCTTGACAAATGACTGTTAGTGGTAAGGTTAGGCACGTGTTGATGTTGATGGGAGCATTGTTGAAATCTGGCTTGCAGTCTGCGAGTAGGTTGTTCAATGTCTCGAGAATCAGTTTCAGTGCGCCATCCTTATAAGGTTGTTCTTGTAACTTTGTGCTTCTTTGAAAATCAGTATAATATCAATATATGGCAGGTTCCACTCCCTTTGTAAATTGTGTGACATTAATTGATATAGATACCCAGGGATTTGTTTGAGCTGGTCATGATATACCCTAGGGGGAAAAACTGTCCCGTTCGTTCAAATAATCTTGACTCTTACCCAGTGTATTGCCGAAACTCAAAAAGAAAATACTTCCCATACTGCGTTCGACAGAACAGCTAACAGGAATTACAGCAACATAAAAAACCTATGGTTAGACTATGTTTTAATCCCAGTATAACCAGCCAAAGTTGGAACTGTCAAAACCGTTAGGTGGGTAATTCTAGATGATATAAAATGGTTGATATCTTTACTTTCCATAAACGTATTGGAGAGATCTAAAAAACTACCCGCGGTATGCTCAGAATATTTAATACGCGAGGAGCATTTTAAAATATATAAAAGATTCTAGTTTTTTGTTTATTTCTTTGCTTTTATTTTTTTTTCATAACGTTTATTATGCCTGCTCGTTTAACACAAGATTTGCGCAACACTCTCCAATCTTTGCTTCAACGCGGTCTTTCGCTCTCAAAAATAAGAAATATGTATTGATGAATTCGTAATAATAAGTCGATGATAATAATCAGTTGTCAACTGTATCTAAAATGAAAGCAAAAAGCTTCTTTATTACAGAGCATCTAGCTTGCTTAAATATGGTAGATCCCTGGTCAATGACTACTACGTTGAGATGGTATATAAATAGCAGGCCACTGGGGCCTTATGGATTGTTGGTATAGCTTGTTGAGAGGCCACCTAAGTCGATATGTTTCATGTAGTGTAGGTGGATCTCGATATCTTGACATTAGGAAGATTGAATGTATTGTAGTTCCTGAGGCACCTGTGCACACACAATTGACTGGACTTGTAAACATAGATGTGATGTGATACGATAAACATCATCTATGCTGCTACACTGTAAAAGGTGGCTTGAGGAGAAAGTGAATGTAGCCTAAGATGCATGCTTGTATGAAACATGTATCCAGGAGTGGGTAACTCTACTCTTACAAGGCTCAGAAAACTATATTGCCCTGACCCAGCTAGACCTCTTGGAGGAAGACCGAAAAAAACTTGGTACAATAACTATGTCCCTAGTGTCGAGAACTTCGATCGAGTGTTTTAGATAGTCCCCGAGCAGCGCAAGAAAGTTTAAGATCGATGGATCATGATATGTCGATTAGTGGCATCCGCAAGTCATTGAAACGAAATGGACTTAAATCTCGCAAAAAAGTAAAGAGCGATTTTGTTAGCAAGACAAACAAGCGGCTTTGATTGGCGTGGGCTAAAAAGCATAGGCATCTTACTATTGCTGATTGGCGTCGTTGGGTGTTTTCGGATGAAACAAGAATAAACCTTTGGGGCTCAGATAGTAATTGTTTTTACTGGACGAAAGGTGACCGAACCATGCAGCCTCATCAAGTCAAGCCTCAGGTGTAGG